TCAGAGTGCTGGCATCCATTGTTCATTTCCAATTTTGAGATGCTTTTAAAAATGCACGGTTTCTCCCTGTTTCTTCCTTTAAAAAAGAAAAGGGTTTCTGATTTTATTGTGTGGTAATAAGACTTGTGAGCTGATCCAAAGGATGTCTGTGAGCTTAGCCATTAGGTTATTAAAGTCGCATTCAAGGTCAGATATTCTATATTTTATATTACCTTGCTCAGATGGAATGAAGTATGAAGGTTAAAAAGACCATGCCTTTGTTATATAAAATGCATTTATATTTCAAGAACTTGGCTTAGTTAAGTAGGAGCTATTTATACTTGGTATTTCTTAAATCATAGCTTGCAGGAGGTATCCACATTTTTGATATATCATATATACAGATATCCAGACAAACCCCTAAAATTAGCAAGAAGAAATTAGACATTTTTAAAATTAATACCTTAAAACCTTCGTCCTGCACAAGGATTACAACATAGTGAGCATTCATTATTTTTCCTTGGAAATGAGAAGCTTTGAAAAATACTGATTCAAAACAGCATTATCAAATTAAAGAAAGTCTATAGAGCAGCTGTCAGAATGAGCTGAACATCAAAGGAAAAGCATGAAGGAATTCTCTGTAGGAAGTCTATAAGCAAAATCTCCTTATGTTACAGTCCCCTAAAAGTCACTGAACAGGCAGCTCCATTAAAATGAGTGAATGGGGAAATAACCTCTGATTAGGCAGTCATGTATAGTTGAGCATTACTGGTGAGGGTGACTGAACCAAAGGAATATTTCAACAATTATGCTGTTCTTTGTAATGTGCCTCATCAAATACCATTCTATTGGCCATATAAGGATGATTGTCAGTTTGCCGTGATAAGGGAAGTGAAGTTCAGACTGATATCTGAGAGGAGTTTTAAAAGAGAGCAGATCTTTCTTCTTTCACAAAATAAGGACAACTTGATCCATTATTTTACACAAGCGGCATTTCCACACATCGATCATTTTCATCTCCCAAACCTACAAAACCATATTAAAGAAACAGCAGCAATGAGAATATTTATATGTGTCTCCACATAGTATCCACACTGCTGCTGTTTGTTTAATACCCAGTACTCCCCAGGAGTAGGGCATAACAATTGGCATCCAGCTATCATGCCTCCCTCCCCAATTGTACTTACCGTTTTCTTCTCTCACTCAGATTCATAGAAAGTGGAGGGAGTAATTCAGTTTTTAAAAGCATATCTGTTATACCCTGGATTTATATCCTGAATTTTATTCTTGTTTTATATTTTTGATGCAATCCTAAAACAAATCAATCCATAAAGTATCAATAAGCATAGTGAAATGGTGCTAAAAGATTACTGTAATGAAGCAAAACCAACAAGCCCAGATCAGATTCTATTAATTGGGGGGGGGGATCAGCCCTCTCTTTCTACAGCATTAATACTGCACAGCTAACATCACACTTCATCATTACGCTTAGGTCAGGAATGAACTGGCTCAACAGCAAATTGTGGAATAGTGGCCAAAGAGACTCAATATATATAGAGGGCCTCATATTTTATATAGAATTCAGACTGTCTTTTTATTCCTTGGATATGATACTGACCCTGATTTTTCTAGCTTCTTAATACAGCTGATAATTTTTTCATAAGGAAGAACATGTATAATAATCATAGAGAAAGCTAGATTGGACTGTTGTGGGAAAAGTATTGACTTGCATGTAGGCAAAGTAAATTCAACTTCTTGCTTAGCTGGGAGGCTCAGCAGACAACTTTGACTAAATGACTTCTATTCAGAATAGACTAACAGAATAACAGAATAACAGAATAACAGGGTTGGAAGAGACCTTGCAGGTCTTCTAGTCCAGTGGTCCCCAACCCCCGGTCCGCGGACCGGTGCCGGGCCGTGGAGTACCTGGCACCGGG